GGTCTAAAAACTGAGGTGTCGGTCTCCAAATGATTTCTAGAGGAACATTTGAAAAAGGCCTGTCGCTGTATTTCTCTTTCCTTAAAAAATCCCCTATACAACCTTTAAAGGCAAGGCAAGGCAAGTTTATTTGTACAGCACAATTTGTACACAAAGTAATTCAAAGTGCTTTACAGAATAAGAAATACATTAAAATCATAATAAAAAGAAATCAAAACATAAATAATCATGAAGATTAAAAGTAAAAAAGAGAGACATAAATTGGAGAGAAGAGTGCGGAATGAAAACCTTTCAGTTATTTGCACAGTTAAACAGAAATGTTTTGAGTCTGGATTTAAACAGCGTCACAGAAGAGTCTGTCTCACATGTTCAGACTGTTCCAGGTTTTAGCTGCATGAACCTGAAACTCTGACTCCCCTTGTTTAGTCGTGACTCTGGGCACCAGCAGGAGTTGGTCCCTGAGCTCCTCAGAGTGTGAGATGTTCATATGACACTAACATGTCACAGATGGACTTTGGTGCTCGGCCATGGAGACACTTGTACAAGCAGAGCTGCTTTAAAGTCTCTGAGGCACAGGAGCCAGTGCAGAGACCTGAGCACAGGACTTATGTGCTCGTACTTCCTAGTTCGAGTAAGGACCCGAGGTGCACTGTGTAACTTTTCTGGTACCTTGTTTCCACGGAGAGGCGTCGCAGTATGACATTAAACTCATTCATGCTGCTTTTATTCAATTACAGGTGTTTTTACTGCTCAAAAATAATGATTGAAGACTGTAAAGCTGCACCGTGGAACGTTCCGGGCGGGTTAAAAAGCGTCGCACTGACCGCGGGTGAAAGGAAAGTCGTAATTCCAGCTGACCTATCGAGGCGGCGAGTGAGACGGAGCCGACGGTCTGAGGGAAATGTCAGCGCTCCTCATCCATCAGCTGCTCCTCATCCATCAGCTGTTCTCATCAGAGGAGGACGAGAGGAGGACAGGAGCCGATCATCACCGCCATCGTCTCAGCACGCCAGCGGAAATATAATGTACCACAAAGGATGGCGCTCCCGGTTTACACGCGCGGCTCGGTCTGACACGCACGGGGTTTTGTTTTTTTAGAATTTTTGGTCGAAGGAAATGCAGTGTTAGAGCAGTCGGTCCGGACAGCGTGTGGTGTATGTGGCAGAGAGTCCTGTTCCAGCTGAAACCAGGACTAAACCAGGACTAAACCAGGACTAAACCAGGACTGACTAAACCAGGACTAAACCAGGACTAAACCAGGACTAAACCAGGACTAAACCAGGACTAAACCAGGACTGAACCAGGACTAAACCAGACTAAACAGGACTAGGACTAAACCAGGACCAGGTCTAAACCAGGACTAAACCAGGACTGAACCAGGACCAAACCAGAACTAAACCAGGACTGAACCAGGACTAAACCAGGTCTAAACCAGGTCTAACCAGGACTAAACGAGGTCTAAACCAGACTAAAGAACTAAGGACTAAACCAGGTCTAAACCAGGACTAACCAGGACTAAACAAGGACTAAACCAGGACTGAACCAGGACCAAACCAGAACTAAACCAGGACTGAACCAGGACTAAACCAGGTCTAAACCAGGTCTTAACCAGGACTAAACGAGGTCTAAACCAGGACTAAAGCAGAACTAAACCAGGTCTAAACCAGGACTACACCAGGACTAAACAAGGACTAAACCAGGACTAAACCAGGACTAACCAGGAACTAAACCAGGACTAAACCAGGACTAACCACTAAACAGGACTAAACCAGGACTGAAACCAGGACTAAACCAGGACTGAACCAGGACCAAACCAGAACTAAACCAGGACTGAACCAGGACTAAACAGGACTAAACCAGGTCTAAACCAGGACTAAACCAGGACTGAACCAGGACCAAACCAGAACTAAACCAGGACTGAACCAGGACTAAACCAGGTCTAAACCAGGTCTTAACCAGGACTAAACGAGGTCTAAACCAGGACTAAAGCAGAACTAAACCAGGTCTAAACCAGGACTACACCAGGACTAAACAAGGACTAAACCAGGACTGAACCAGGACCAAACCAGAACTAAACCAGGACTGAACCAGGACTAAACCAGGTCTAAACCAGGTCTTAACCAGGACTAAACGAGGTCTAAACCAGGACTAAAGCAGAACTAAACCAGGTCTAAACCAGGACTACACCAGGACTAAACAAGGACTAAACCAGAACTAAACCAGAACTAAACCAGGTCTAAACCAGGACTACACCAGGACTAAAACAGGACTAAACCAGAACTAAACCAGGTCTAAACCAGGACTACACCAGGACTGAACCAGGACCAAACCAGAACTAAACCAGGACTGAACCAGGACTAAACCAGGTCTAAACCAGGTCTAAACCAGGACTAAACCAGGACTGAACCAGGACCAAACCAGAACTAAACCAGGACTGAACCAGGACTAAACCAGGTCTAAACCAGGTCTTAACCAGGACTAAACGAGGTCTAAACCAGGACTAAAGCAGAACTAAACCAGGTCTAAACCAGGACTACACCAGGACTAAACAAGGACTAAACCAGGACTGAACCAGGACCAAACCAGAACTAAACCAGGACTGAACCAGGACTAAACCAGGTCTAAACCAGGTCTTAACCAGGACTAAACGAGGTCTAAACCAGGACTAAAGCAGAACTAAACCAGGTCTAAACCAGGACTACACCAGGACTAAACAAGGACTAAACCAGAACTAAACCAGAACTAAACCAGGTCTAAACCAGGACTACACCAGGACTAAAACAGGACTCAACCACGACTCAACCAGGATTAAACCAGGACTGAACCAGGACTAAACTAGGACTAAACCAGGACTAAAACAGGACTAAACCAAGACTAAACCAGGACTAAACCAAGACTAAACCAGGACTACACCAGGACTAAACCAGGTCTAAACCAGGTCTACACCAGGAGTAAACCAGGATTAAACCAGGACTAAACCAGGACTAAACTAAGACTAAACCAAGACTAAACCAAGACTAAACCAGGACTACACCAGGACTAAACCAGGACTACACCAGGAGTAAACCAGGATTAAACCAGGACTAAACCAGGACTAAACTAAGACTAAACTAAGACTAAACCAAGACTAAACCAAGACTAAACCAGGACTAAACCAGACTAAACCAGGACTAAACCAGGACTAAACCAGGACTAAACCAAGACTAAACCAGGACTAAACCAAGACTAAACCAGGACTAAACCAGGACTAAACCAGGACTAAACCAGACTAAACCAGGACTAAACCAGGACTAAACCAAGACTAACCCAGGACTAAACCAGGATTAAACCAGGACTAAACCAAGACTAAACCAGGACTAAACCAGGACTAAACCAAGACTAAACCAGACTAAACCAAGACTAAACCAGGACTAAACCAAGACTAAACCAGGACTAAACCAAGACTAAACCAAGGACTAAACCAGGACTAAACCAAGACTAAACCAAGACTAAACCAAGACTAAACCAGGACTAAACCAAGACTAAACCAGGACTAAACCAAGACTAAACCAAGACTAAACCAGGACTAAACCAAGACTAAACCAGGACTAAACCAGGACTAAACCAAGACTAAACCAGTAAACCAGGACTAAACCAGGACTAAACCAGGACTAAACCAAGACTAAACCAAGACTAAACCAGGACTAAAAACCAGGACTAAACCAAGACTAAACCAGGACTAAACCAGGACTAAACCAAGATTAAACCAGGACTAAACCAAGACTAAACCAAGACTAAACCAGGACTAAACCAGGACTAAACCAGGACTAAACCAAGACTAAACCAGACTAAACCAGGACTAAACCAGGACTAAACCAGGACTAAACCAAGACTAAACCAAGACTAAACCAGGACTAAACCAGGACTAAACCGGGAGTGATCCTGGACTAATCTTGGACTTGAGAGCAGAGAGAGAACCCCGAGCCTGTGGAGGAGGGTGATCGGGCGACGCCCTGTGGGGAGGTGAGCCTCACAGTGGGAGACGTGGGTGGACGTATCCCCGTGTACCACGTCCACTACACCCCGGCTTTTACCGGACTGACAAAACTCCAGACTGACCGTAGAAGTGGATTTCTGATTTGGTTTTGGCTTTTTTGATTATTCTGGTTTTGTTAGTCTCCATGGAAACACAGTGTCCTGCGTCAGGGAGAATCAGGTTATGAGAAACTAGGATCATCTCACTGGGTTTTTCAGAGAGTATCCAGGGTCCGAGGCATCCTGATTTATCAAGACTGGAGCTTGAACTGACGTAATAAAAACGACTCAAAACTTCTACCAGGATAAGCCGTTTCATTCGTTCATTCGTTTTTCAATGTAAAACCAAAAATAAGAAAATGAAAAAACAACAGTTTTCTTCATTATTTGTCTCCAAAACCAAAATGAAAAAAATGATTCGTTTTTTCAGTTTTCAATTTTGTGTTTAAATGAAAAATTACTTTCCCCTTCACGGAACCAGCGCGCAGACGATGACACAGAACCACTCGGACCACTGGTGTCGGTCTCAGTCCCGCTCTTGTCCTGGTCTGGTCTCGGACCTGGATCAGTCCTGGTTCAGTCCATATGCTATACAAAAGTCCGGCATCGCAGTCACGGAAGTCACGTAAACGGGAAACGGTTGTTATCCGTTTTTTCCATTCTTCATTTAAACACAAAATCGAAAACTGAAAAAATGAAGAAAACTGTTCTTTTTTCGTTTTCTTATTTTTTGGTTTTATATTGAAAAACGAATGAACGAATGATACACGGATTTTTTTTTTTTATAAAAAATTTTGTATTTATGAACAAAATAAAGCAGTGTACCTTTTAATACAGCCAACATTTAACCCCAGGCTCACCTCTGTTCACTCACATTATTCTGGACAAATTCAGTTAGTTCAGATCAAACTAAAAATCCATTTGTTAATCAGACATTTGTGGTAATATAGAAATAAGTGGTGTCATAAAGGCTGATTGACACTCACCTTTATGTCCTGGGCTTCCTGGGAGTCCTGGGATTCCTGGGGATCCTGCATTCACACAAATATTAGTATTAGTACAAGAAAATTTTGTAGTAGTAGTAGTAGTAGTAGTAGTAGTAGTAGTAGTAGTAGTAGTAGTAGTAGTAGTACCTGTCTTGAGCCTGATGGCGTTGAGGCGTGAGTCCAGGCTCTTTGTACTGGAGTTTAACATCATCAGGTCAGTCTGAAATCTGTGGATCTGACCTTCAGCTCCACACTGACTCTCCACCTGCACACACACGTCACCACTGTTAGGACAAAAACACAAAAACTAGCATGCTAACAGCGCACCAGCTTTACTAAAAGAAAACGCTTTACGACACAGTGGATTTATGGTGCGTTCGTTTATCCATCTGACTTTTGGAGGTCCGAGGACGTTGCCTCGCGACAGACACAATGACACGCCCCGTTTCCTCGGATGGAGGAACTTGGAAAAACTCAGAGGAGATCGAGTAAAGATTCTGAGACAGAATCCAAGACCCGTGCACCCAGTGTCACTTTGAAGTATGAAGTGTTTTCATTGTGTTTGCAGCTTTGGTGGTTTAAATGACAATTTCAGTCACTCATATCACTGCAGTACTTTACTACGTCTGTTTTACTGCAGTATTTTACTACGTCTGTTTTACTGCAGTACTTTACTACGTCTGTTTTACTGCAGTACTTTACTACGTCTGTTTTACTGCAGTACTTTACTACGTCTGTTTTACTGCAGTACTTTACTACGTCTGTTTTACTGCAGTACTTTACTACGTCTGTTTTACTGCAGTACTTTACTACATCTGTATTACTGCAGTACTTTACTACGTCTGTATTACTGCAGTACTTTACTACGTCTGTTTTACTGCAGTACTTTACTACGTCTGTTTTACTGCAGTACTTTACTACGTCTGTATTACTGCAGTACTTTACTACGTCTGTATTACTGCAGTATTTTACTACGTCTGTATTAGTGCAGTACTTTACTACGTCTGTATTACTGCAGTACTTTACAACGTCTGTATTACTGCAGTACTTTACTATGTCTGTATTAGTGCAGTACTTTACTACGTCTGTATTAGTGCAGTACTTTACTACGTCTGTATTACTGCAGTACTTTACAACGTCTGTATTACTGCAGTACTTTACTATGTCTGTATTACTGCAGTACTTTACTACGTCTGTATTACTGCAGTACTTTACTACGTCTGTTTTACTGCAGTACTTTACTACGTCTGTTTTACTGCAGTACTTTACTACGTCTGTTTTACTGCAGTACTTTACTACGTCTGTTTTACTGCAGTACTTTACTACGTCTGTTTTACTGCAGTACTTTACTACGTCTGTATTACTGCAGTATTTTACTATGTCTGTATTAGTGCAGTACTTTACTACGTCTGTTTTACTGCAGTACTTTACTACGTCTGTTTTACTGCAGTACTTTACTACGTCTGTTTTAGTGCAGTACTTTACTACGTCTGTTTTACTGCAGTACTTTACTACGTCTGTATTACTGCAGTACTTTACTACGTCTGTATTACTGCAGTACTTTACTACGTCTGTATTACTGCAGTACTTTACTACGTCTGTATTACTGCAGTATTTTACTACGTCTGTATTAGTGCAGTACTTTACTACGTCTGTATTACTGCAGTACTTTACTGCATCTGTATTACTGCAGTACTTTACTATGTCTGTATTAGTGCAGTACTTTACTACGTCTGTATTAGTGCAGTACTTTACTACGTCTGTATTACTGCAGTACTTTACAACGTCTGTATTACTGCAGTACTTTACTATGTCTGTATTAGTGCAGTACTTTACTACGTCTGTTTTACTGCAGTACTTTACTACGTCTGTTTTACTGCAGTACTTTACTACGTCTGTTTTACTGCAGTACTTTACTACGTCTGTATTACTGCAGTATTTTACTACGTCTTTATTAGTGCAGTACTTTACTACGTCTGTATTACTGCAGTACTTTACTACGTCTGTATTACTGCAGTATTTTACTACGTCTGTATTAGTGCAGTACTTTACTACGTCTGTATTACTGCAGTACTTTACTACGTCTGTATTACTGCAGTACTTTACTATGTCTGTATTAGTGCAGTACTTTACTACGTCTGTATTACTGCAGTACTTTACTACGTCTGTTTTACTGCAGTACTTTACTACGTCTGTTTTACTGCAGTACTTTACTACGTCTGTTTTAGTGCAGTACTTTACTACGTCTGTATTACTGCAGTACTTTATTACGTCTGTTTTACTGCAGTACTTTACTACATCTGTTTTACTGCAGTACTTTACTACGTCTGTATTACTGCAGTACTTTACTACGTCTGTATTACTGCAGTATTTTACTATAGCTGTTTTACTGCAGTACTTTACTATGTTTGTATTAGTGCAGTACTTTACTACGTCTGTTTTACTGCAGTACTTTACTCCATCTGTATTACTGCAGTACTTTACTACATCTGTATTACTGCAGTACTTTACTACATCTGTATTACTGCAGTACTTTACTACGTCTGTTTTACTGCAGTAATTTACTACGTCTGTATTATTGCAGTACTTTATTACGTCTGTTTTACTGCAGTCCTTTACTACGTCTGTTTTACTGCAGTCCTTTACTACGTCTGTATTAGTGCAGTACTTTACTACGTCTGTTTTACTGCAGTACTTTACTACGTCTGTATTAGTGCAGTACTTTACTACGTCTGTTTTACTGCAGTACTTTACTACGTCTGTATTAGTGCAGTACTTTACTGCGTCTGTATTACTGCAGTACTTTACTACGTCTGTATTAGTGCAGTACTTTACTACGTCTGTTTTACTGCAGTACTTTACTACGTCTGTATTAGTGCAGTACTTTACTACGTCTGTTTTACTGCAGTACTTTACTACGTCTGTATTACTGCAGTACTTTACTGCGTCTGTATTAGTGCAGTACTTTACTGCATCTGTATTAGTGCAGTACTTTACTGTGTCTGTATTAGTGCAGTACTTTACTGCGTCTGTTTTACTGCAGTACTTTACTGTATTAGTGCAGTCCTTTACTGCATCTGTATTAGTGCAGTACTTTACTGCATCTGTATTAGTGCAGTACTTTACTGCATCTGTATTAGTGCAGTACTTTACTGCATCTGTATTAGTGCAGTACTTTACTGCATCTGTATTAGGGCAGTACTTTACTGCATCTGTATTAGTGCAGTACTTTACTGCATCTGTATTAGTGCAGTACTTTACTGCATCTGTATTAGTGCAGTACTTTACTGCATCTGTATTAGTGCAGTACTTTACTGCGTCTGTTTTACTGCAGTACTTTACTGTATTAGTGCAGTACTTTACTGCATCTGTATTAGTGCAGTACTTTACTGCATCTGTATTAGTGCAGTACTTTACTGCATCTGTATTAGTGCAGTACTTTACTGCATCTGTATTAGTGCAGTACTTTACTGCATCTGTATTAGGGCAGTACTTTACTGCATCTGTATTAGTGCAGTACTTTACTGTGTCTGTATTAGTGCAGTACTTTACTGCGTCTGTTTTACTGCAGTACTTTACTGCGTCTGTATTAGTGCAGTACTTTACTGCATCTGTATTAGTGCAGTACTTTACTGCATCTGTATTAGGGCAGTACTTTACTGCATCTGTATTAGTGCAGTACTTTACTGCATCTGTATTAGTGCAGTACTTTACTGCATCTGTATTAGGGCAGTACTTTACTGCATCTGTATTAGTGCAGTACTTTACTGCATCTGTATTAGGCAGTACTTTACTGCATCTGTATTAGTGCAGTACTTTACTGTGTCTGTATTAGTGCAGTACTTTACTGCATCTGTATTAGGGCAGTACTTTACTGCATCTGTATTAGGGCAGTACTTTACTGTGTCTGTATTAGTGCAGTACTTTACTGCATCTGTATTAGGGCAGTACTTTACTGCATGTCTGTATTAGTGCAGTACTTTACTGCATCTGTATTAGGGCAGTACTTTACTGCGTCTGTTTTACTGCAGTACTTTACTGCATCTGTATTAGTGCAGTACTTTACTGCGTCTGTTTTACTGCAGTACTTTACTGCATCTGTATTAGGGCAGTACTTTACTGCATCTGTATTAGTGCAGTACTTTACTGCATCTGTATTAGGGCAGTACTTTACTGTGTCTGTATTAGTGCAGTACTTTACTGCGTCTGTCTTATTACTGCTGTACTTTACTGTACTTTACTGTGTACTGCATCTGTATTAGGGCAGTACTTTACTGCATCTGTATTAGGGCAGTACTTTACTGCGTCTGTTTTACTGCAGTACTTTACTGCGTCTGTATACATCATGATTTACACTGTGAGTGTTTGTGTGGTGCCAGAGTCCTGACCTGGTTCTTGAGGGTCGTGATTTGTCCCTTCAGGTTCTGTGTCTCCAGGCTCGTGTTCTTGACCAGACTCTGGAAGTCTGCTGGACTTTGTGACAGCTGAGCGGACATTTGGCTGGACTGATGGAGACTGGACCCTGACTGTCCACACGAGAAAACTGAAAGAAAAGTCCAGGAGGTCGATTAGAACAACAGAGGCAGAGCAGATCTGTGTGGTTTTCTGGCGATAACACAAAGAACTTCTCTCTGCGTACAAACTTACACTTTAGTTTAGTTAAGTTAAACATGCGCTAAACCACTTTTTGGTTGGGGGTTTTTCACTTTCTTGTTTCTGTGGACATGTCTTTGCTCTGCCTGCAATGTTCCACAGTATGAAAACAGCTCTACTTTTATTCAATTACAAGACTAGGACTGGACCAGAACTACACCATGATTACATTAGCTCTGCTTGACATTTATTCACTTACAGTTCATTTTAAAGCTGAAAAATACCTAGAAAAACAAACATTCTGACTGTGAGCGGGCTCGCCTTTCCACAGATCTGACCTGTGACTTGATCTGGTTTGATCTCCACGAATATAGAAAAGTTTATAAAGCTGTACTGTGAAACATTCCGGGCAAATCAATAACACGTCCTTGGAGAAAAGCATTTGACGGACGCTCCACCAGAAAAGTTACACAATGCACCTTTAAGCTTTTACAAATCAAATCTTCCGTCGTATTGGTTCTGACTGGTTATCCGCGGCGGTTCAGGGCGAGGTTGTGGTTAGATACGACTGGATTCCTGTTATGTTCGGCGTCCCCTCGCAGACGCCGCACGCTCTGTCTCCTCGTGTTATTTTGCACAGTTTAGCTGCGAGTCTTTGGCAGAAGTTCACATTTTCCATGTTTGAACACCACCGCTGGGGCATGTTACCCAGATGTGAGAAGACAACAGGGCAGAGGACACATCCCTGAGGGCCTCCCATTCCTTCAAGGAATTCAAGGCTTTCTTATTGCCAAAGATAAACAACAATTTATGAATTTCCAGCGTTAGTTAGTTACTTAGTTAATAATAATCAGTGTTGGGCAAGTTACTTCAAAACTGTAATCTGTTATTTATTCCTTGTTACTGTCATTTTAAAGTAATTTGTTACATTACAATATTACTGTTGTACTGTTCTCACTGGCCATGTTATTTTTTTTATTCTGATTTAAGTATGTCATTGTGCACTGGGGCGGTTTGCAGCCGAGTGTGAAGCGGCTGGGATGAGGATCAGCTCTTCTACGTCCGAGGTCGTGGTCCTCGAGTGGATAAAGGTGGTTTGTCGTCTTCGGGTGGATGGAGAGTCCCTGCCTCAAGTGGAGGAGTTCAAGTATGTCGGGGTCTTGTTCTCGAGTGAGGGGAGGACGGAGCGTGAGATTGACAGGTGGACAGGTGCGGCGTCTGCAGTGATGCGGTCGCTGTATCGGACCGTTGTGGTGAAGAGGAGCTGAGTCGAAAGGCGAAGCTCTTGATTTAACCGGTCAGTCTTTGTTCCTACTCTCACCTCTGGTCATGAGCTTTGGGTAGTGACCGAAAGGATGAGATCGCGGATACAAGCGCTTGAAATGAATTTCCTCCACAGGGCGTCTGCGCTTCCTTAGAAATAGGGTGAGGAGCTCAGTCACACGGGAGGAGCTCGGAGTAGAGCCGCTGCTCCTCCACGTCGAGAGGAGCAGCTGAGGTGGTTAGAGCATCTGTTCTGGATGCTTCCTGGACGAGGCCCCGGGGAAAACCCAGGACACGCTGGAGGGACTATGGTAAATGGTCACATTTTTCTATAGCGCTTTTTCACCTTCAAGGCACTCAAAGAGCTTTACAACAAGGAACCACTCACCCATTCACACACCAGTGTACGCAGACACTTTGGGCAAGGTGGGTTAAGTGTCTTGCCCAAGGACACAACAGCAGCATTCATCTGTGGAAGCTGGAATCACACCAGCCAACCTGTGGGTCAGTGGATCTGACCGCTCAACCTGTGATGTTTTTTCTTATGTCGAGAGCTGGATTCAAACTGCCAACCTTCAGATCAGTGGGCGAATGTTCTACCAACTGAGCTACGGCCGGGACTACGTCTCTGGGCTGACCTGGGAACGCCTCCGGGTCCCTCTGGAGGAGCTGGACGAAGTGTCTGGGGTGAAGGAAGTCTGGGAGTCCCTGCTTAGACTGCTGCCCCTGCGACCCGGCCCCAGTTAAGCAGAAGAAAATGGATGGATTTAATTATTCCAAAATAAATACTTCGGAATTAAATTATTCTTCTTCGAGTTTACATGGAAATAATAATTCTGGATTGAAGTTTACGTGGCTTTATTTAAATCCACTCAATGTCTGAGGGTGGAGAAGGTTCTGGTTGGACAAACACACAAACGGATTTACATCGACCAAAACAAAACCACACACTCCAGCTGCTACCGGCTTTTTTTATCATCTCGGTTTGTTGTTACGCGTAGGGATGCACACCACTGTTCGCTCACTCACACAAACTGTGGAACAACAGTCCAAACCCAGACTCCTGAACCAGCGGGAGCAGCTCCGGTTCAGGTCGGGCCCAGATCAGTTGTAGCGGGGAGTAGTGTTTGGTGCCTCGGCCTGAGAAGAGCTTTCCCCGGGGAAGAACCAAGAGCGAGAAGGATGGACCAAACAAACGGGATCAACGCTTCTGTCTGGATGTTTTGCGCCACCTCAGTACCAGTCGCAGTCCTCGAGCACGGTCGTCCACACACATTCTCACTTTTACTGGTCTCGCTGGTCCCCGTCTGGACTCAGCACATGGAGGATGGAGACTATGGACCTGTCTGCCCAAGGAGGGGCCACGTGCTACTGTGAGTGCTCCCATGTCTTTGCTACCTTAAATAGTCTTTTAGATACAGCGATCTGAAAGTGGCTCCTTGGAAAACTCTGCTCAAAACAGGTCAGGGGGGAGTCAACAAAATATTCTTGTAATAACAAAACTATAAAGAGTTGGGAGTTAAAATTTGGGACTTTTCCTATTGGGAAGTGTGTGAACCTCCTACAGTTTTTTCAGTCAAATCTTAGGCTACGTTCAGACTGCAGGGCTTAAAGGTTGTATGGAGGATTTTTTTTGTTTCAAATTGTCAATGAAAGTTTAAAATACCATTACAGAGCTGCAGCAGCCTTGTAATTATGATGACCAAAAAAAAAAAAGAATGAAAATTTATCAACTGTGGACGTGTTGAGGTCAGATAAACATCAGCCAATAGAAAACGAGGCTGCCTCTTTATCTATTGGCTGTCAGGTCATCAATTAAACTCCCTATGTTTCTAGTGTAACTGACTCATTGGGATGCGGGGATCACGCGGTTTATGCAGCGGTTCTTAGAGGCTTTTTCAAATTGTAGCTTCCTCACATTTCGCACAAAGTTTGTTGCGATGGCGGACGAGAATCCACGACCAGTTCGCCGCAAAAGAAAGTCGGTTTTTGAGGTCGCTGAAAGAAGAAGAGAAGGGGAAAAGGAGTGAAGACAAACCGAGGTGATTCTTGGAGATTCCTTCCAGCGACTGCGTGAATGAAGCAGACGAAGGGTCTAAAAACTGACGCGTCGGTTGCTAAATTATTTCTAGACGGGTCATTTCAACGCGCACTGGCCATTAAAAAGAAATGTGATTTTTAGAGTAAAGAGGCGGGAGGAGGTGTTTCTACTGAGGCTGTGGAGGAGGAAGGTGGTGTCACGCATGCACAATATTTGTAAAAGAACTGTCGCTGTATTTCTCTTCCCTTAAAAAAATCCTCTATACAACCTTTAAGGCTCAATTTGGATTTTTTTGTGAAATCCGATGTTTTTGTGAGGTCGTTCACATTTCCAGTTAAATGTGACTTGTATGTGACTCCAGTTTGAACATTAAACGGTCCAAAAGTGTCCCACATGTGACACTGGAGACACGACGACGTCAACCGCAGCGAGCGTCTCTGTGTTTACGGAAGTTGTCCAAACATGGACGCAGCATCGAGCACCTGGAGATTTTAAAGTTCCTCTCGTACCGGAGCCAGAACATGAACAACTTACTTGTTTTAAGGAGGAGATTGAAAAGGAGAAGGACGAGGTTTTTGGTCGTGGTGTTTTGTGGTGAGTGGTGATGTGCTTCACTTCAGTGACACGGAGTTCATTAACAATTTTCACCTACTTCAGCGCAGAATAGTGACGTTTGTGTCTTGTTGATAACGTGTAGGTGGATGAATGCACTTTGGCCGTTCACACTGAAGTCACATGTCAAAAGATCAGATATGTATCAGTTTCAGGAGCACATATCCAAGTGTCCTGGGTCACATTTGAAAAAAAATCAGATCTGTGTGGTTCAGACTGTCATTAAAAGATCAGATACAGGAACACAGGGGCCAAAAAATCGGACTTGGGTCACTTCAGGCTGCAGTCTGAACGCAGCCTTTGATCTGATTCCACCTAACAAGGTCACACCTATTTTCTTATTTACAGCTATTTATGTTGCTCTTTACATCTTATTTTAAATCATCATTATTATTGTTGTTGATAGGTTCGGTGTCGCTCTGCACACAACTATTGTCTTATTGTTAAATTTGTCCTCTAGAGGTCAGTGTTTCTCCAAGGCCTCAGACACGTCGAACCATTTGAGACAAAATTGCGACTGAGGTGTCAGTGCTTCATGAGGCTCCATTCGCCCAACACTAGTAAATACACAAATACAAACACTGCACTGAGAAACTCTGTACTACACACAACCCCTCCCCTTTTTACTTTCTTTGTATGTGTTTTAGTTTTATATTTTGTTATGTCTGTCTTGTTCTTGATGTACTGGGTATCCAATCCCTCAAAACTGACAAATTATAAATAATAATAAAAAGAAATCGGACATGGTTGAGCAGGGGCATTCGGAGATTTGCCGTGGAATGACCCATGGTTTAAAACTCACAATTTTTCAAGTTTAGTTAGTTATTTCAAACCTTATCCCCTGAACTAATAATATTATTTTGTGTTTTAGAGGAGCTTTGACTCGAGCAAATACTCACCTTTATAAAGGAGGAAGATGTTTAAAGGCGTCTGCAGAACGAGGTAGATCACGATGACGATAAAACACCACGGTCTCCTCCGAGGGTACCTCTTCGATTCTGAAATACATCCCATAATAACAGTCATCACATCGGACAGGCCCACTGCAAAAGAATACTCCAGCCCTGTCAGCTGTCAATCAAACATCTGCCCCGAGGAGAGGGGGCGGGGCTAAAGTCACAGCGTCCGAGTGACAAGATCAGAACGGACGTGCTCATTTTTAAGGGACTCTGTGTAAGATCTTAAGATGACGAGTTACGAGGTAAATCTGTTCAAATGAAATACAGTTGAGTCAGTGCTAGTGCAGCTTCTGCAGCTCACAGGAGGAACTCTGGAGGTTCTGAGCTTCACACGAGGAATGAACGTGAACTGAGACTGAGACAAACGTGGACGTGTAATCTGTGTATCATTCATTCATTCATTTTTCAAAATAAACCAAAATTAAGAAAAAAACCAGAAGTGTCAAACTCAAATTCACAGAGGCCAAAATAAAAAACTGGAATTATGTTTTGAACCAAACTAAATGTTTATTGAAAAATTTCAACAACATCTGCATGTTTTCTCTTCTTTCAAGATATTTAATGTTAAACCTTTTCTTATTAAAATAAATGTTTAATAAGTTTTGCTTAAACAATGAATCCAGAACAAGCAGAATATAAAATAATAACAACATTTTAAATAAATCATGTCTCTATAGTCGATCTCTGTGCTGCGGCAGCTCTAACACATATTTGATTTGATCTCACGGGCCAAATATAATTATATCACGGGCCGAATTTGGCCCCCAGGCCTGAGTTTGACATGTCTGCTCTAAACTATTCTATTTGTCTCTAAGACCAAAATGAAGCTGATGATGTTTTCGATTTTGTGTTTAAATGAATAATGGAGAAAATGGATAACGACCGATTCCTGTTTCCGTGACTTAAAGTGCGATGCCGGACTGAACCATTTTTGAGTAAAATTAAAGGATTTTAAGTGGCCTTATAGTCCGAAAAATACAGTAAACGTCATACAGTGGAACATTCCAGCCAAAGTAATGACTTCTCCATAAACACAGCGGACCGTCCACCAGAAAAGTTACACTGTGCATCTTTAATAAATTGCATTTTACTTGAATTTTGTTGGGTTTTCTTCTTATTTTGTTTTGTTTTGTTTTTATTCCACCTCTTTCTTTATACTATATTAAAGTGATATTATATTTAAGGTGAAACTAGGTGATTTTCTTTACTGCTGCAGAGCACATGGTTTTCATTTTGTACAGAGCAATGTCGCCCCCTTCTGGTTACTCCTCGTCACTGCCAATTCTCCTCCAATTCTCAAACAAATACAGTTTCATTTTTTGGATCAAACACTTTTCTCCATGGAGATTTTTGGTTTTCGCTTTGTCTGGAATGTTCCACAGTACAACATTAAACCTTTTTATCATCACGGACACCAAATCAGACCAAGTTACAGGTCAGATCTGTGGAGAGGCGACGCCACACACAGTCAGAATGTTGTTTTTCTCGGAATTTTTAAGCTTTAAAACCAACTGTAATTGAATAAATGTCAAGTTACCTGGAAAGTTACACAATGCAGCTTTAATGAATCCTTTTTTTACATTTTATGACTGTATTTTTACTCACAAATGTTCGTTTTCAGAGTCTGTTGGATGGTTGTAAAATGTTGTAAACGCCTAAAAAGTTCAAGTGACATTAATCATTTGGACTTTTTCGTTTTCTCCGTGTTTTTCAGATTCAGGTTATTTCTAATGATGCCAAAAACGTGACCAGGCACATTTTTTGTCAAAGATTTTTGTTTTAAAAAAATATTACTGCGACTTGGAGCCTTTTCTTTGTTCCCCTCAGACGCCAAAGACTTGAAGGTCGATTAACAAAAACAACTTTAAATCATAACAGATTCATATTTTTTATACTTTTTGGGTGTAATCTAAAGATCTATCTCTAATTTAAAATAATATCTAAATAAATAAATAAATAATTAAATAAATAACAATTTAAATGACAGTTTGAAAACTTGGATTTCACAGTATTTGTAGTTTAGTCTTGATGTAGTCCTTTTAGTCTTGGTTTAGTCCTGGTTTAGTCCTGGTTTAGTCTTGGTTTAGTCCTGGTTTAGTCCTGGTTTAGACCTGGTTTAGTCCTGGTTTAGTCCTGGTTTAGACCTGGTTTAGACCCTGGTTTAGTCCTGGTTTAGTCCTGGTTTAGTCCTGGTTTAGTCCTGGTTTAGACCTGGTTTAGACCTGGTTTAGTCCTGGTTTAGTCCTGGTTTAGTCCTGGTTTAGTCCTGGTTTAGACCTGGTTTAGTCCTGTTTAGTCCTGGTTTAGACCTGGTTTAGTCCTGGTTTAGTCCTGGTTTAGTCCTGGTTTAGACCTGGTTAGACCTGGTTTAGTCCTGGTTTTAGTCCTGGTTTAGTCCTGGTTTAGTCCCGGTTTAGACCTGGTTTAGTCCTTTTTAGTCCTGGTTTAGACCTGGTTTAGTCCTGGTTTAGTCCTAGTTTAGTCCTGGCTTAATCCTGGTTCAGTCCTGGTTTAGTCTCGGTTTAGACCTGGTTTAGACCTGGTTTAGACCTAGTTTAGTCCTGGTTTAGTCCTGGTTTAGTCCTGGTTTAGACCTGGTTTAGACCTAGTTTAGTCCTAGTTTAGTCCTGGTTTAGTCCTGGTTTAGTCCTGATCTTGAGTTTGTCAGGTGATGAAAATTCAACATCAAATGTAAATACGTTATATAATTATTTAAATATAAATACTTCATATAAATATTCTTAATCTAACGATTATAAAATATTATTTACTGGACAAATCAATATTATTATTATTATTATTATTATTATTATTATTATTATTATTATTTTCCAAAAAGTAACATGACACTTTTAAGCCACTTCAAGTTCATTTGTGTTTCTTGTTTTGTTCGTAACATTTCATTTTTCTAATTTTTGTGTCGATCTTTAGAAAATACAGGATTTCTCCATTAAATAATGTTCTGACCTCAGTTCAAATCATAAATCAGACGGGTTTTTTGTGTGTGTTTTTTCTTGCACTGAGCAGTTTGTGGAAGAACCTCTTTGTACTTTTACTTAATTTTATTTCGAAATCACTTCTGACTTTTCACAGATTTGGCTGCTCTGCCCACTTCTGCAAACTTCACCAAAACACAATACTGAAAAAAAAAAAACTCTCAGCTTCATTTTCTATCATTAGTCGAACACGGAGACCAAACCAGACCGAGTTACAGGTCAGATCTGTGGAGAGGCGACGCTGCTCACAACAGAATGTTTGTTTTTCTAACTATTTTTCAGCTCTAAAATAAACTGTAATTGAATAAATGTAAAGAGATGTTTAAAGTCACACTGTGGAACATTCAGTCCTGGTTTAGACCTGGTTTAGTCCTGGTTCAGTCCTGGTTTAGACCGGGTTTAGTCCTGGTTTAGTCCTGGTTCAGTCCTGGTTTAGACCTGGTTTAGTCCTGGTTTAGACCTGGTTTAGATCTGGTTTAGTCCTGGTTTAGTCCTGGTTTAGTCCTGGTTTAGACCTGGTTTAGTCCTGGTTTAGACCTGGTTTAGTCCTGGTTTAGACCTGGTTTAGTCTTGGTTTAGACCTGGTTTAGTCCAGTTTTAGACCTGGTTTAGTCCTGGATTTAGTCCTGGTTTAGTCCTGGTTCAGTCCTGGTTTAGTCCTGATTTAGTCCTGGTTTAGTACTAGTTTAGTCCAGGTTTAGACCTGGTTTAGTCCAGGTTTAGTCCTAGTCCTGGTTCAGTCCTGGTTCAGTCCTGGTTTAGTCCTGGTTTAGTCCTGGTTTAGTCCTGGTTTAGTCCTGGTTTAGTCCTGGTTTAGTCCTGGTTTAGACCTGGTTTAGTCCTGGTTTAGTCCTGGTTTAGTCCTGGTTTAGTCCTGGTTTAGTTCCTGGTTTAGTCCTGGTTTAGTCCTGGTTAGTCCTGGTTTAGTCCTGGTTTAGACCTGGTTTAGTCCAGGTTTAGTCCTAGTCCTGGTTCAGTCCTGGTTCAGTCCTGGTTTAGTCCTGGTTTAGTCCTGGTTTAGTCCTGGTTCAGTCCTGGTTCAGTCCTGGTTTAGTCCTGGTTTAGTCCTGGTTTAGTCCTGGTTTAGTCCTGGTTTAGTCCTGGTTTAGTCCTGGTTTAGTCCTGGTTTAGACCTGGTTTAGTCCTAGTCTTGTACAGCCCCCCATCCAAAAAGTTCCACACCTTTAAATCTTATTATCGAGTGAAAAAGAAAGAAAAACATAAACACCAACGACCCTGCGACCCTCTGAAAAGTTTCATGTTATAGTTGTTGTGGTCGTCATGGAGACGGGTGTCGTACTCACCCTCGTGCTCGAAGCTGTAGAGCTCGGAGCTGCTCACGGACATTCCAAACAGAGGGTTATGATGAGTGTGAGACATGTCCTCTGTGTCCACACCACTGTCCATATGTCCCTGAGTGTGTCTCCGTGTGTCTGTGTGTGTGTGTGTGTGTGTGTGTGTCTCTGTGTGTGTGTGTGTCTCCGAGTGTTTCTGTGTGTGTGTGAATGTCTCTGAGTGTCTGTGTGTCTCTGAGTGTCTGTGTGTCTCTGAGTGTCTGTGTGTCTGAGTGTCTGTGTGTCTCTGAGTGTCTGTGTGTCTCTGAGTGTCTGTGTGTCTCTGAGTGTCTGTGTGTCTCTGAGTGTCTGTGTGTCTCTGAGTGTCTGTGTGTCTCTGAGTGTCTGTGTGTCTTTGTGTCCAAATGTCCAACGCACCAGTGTATTTATGTGTCCTTCTGAACACTGTCCCCTCCCACTGATGACACAGAGAGAGAGAGAGAGAGAGAGGAGAAGGAGGGAGGGAGGAGGAGAGAAAGAAGGGAGAGAGCAGAAGAGAGGGAGGGAGGAGAGAAGACACGGTGGCTGAGTGGTTAGCACTCATGCCTCACAGCAAGAAGGTTCCGGGTTTGATCCCCGGTCGCCAGGGTCTTTCTGTGTGGACTTTGCATGTTTCTCCTCGTGTCTGGATGGGTTTCCCCCATCAACCCAAAACATGTTACTGTTCTCCAGGAACAGTTGATAGTCAAGGTCAGTTAAACTTCATCAGTCAGTGAGACAGAGACAAAGTCTGATCCCGTCAGCTCGCAGAAGCTCAGCAGGACTGGGCCTGGTTAGTACTTGTATTTGATGGAGACACTGGGAAAATCAGGAGCCACAAGGAGACACCAGTCACAAAACTGTGACTGTTGTGTCCTTGTGCCCCACTTGACCCAGATTGGCAGCCTTGCTTCTGTCAGTCTGCCCCAGGGCAGCTGTGGCTACAATAATAGTTTACCCCCACCGGGTCTGGAGTGAATGAATAATGCTGAATAATGATCTGTAAAGCGTCTTTGAGTGTCCAAAAAAGTGCTATATAAAACTGATGCATTATTATTATTATTATTATTATTATTATTATTATTATTATTATTATTATTATTATTATTATTAAAAGGGAGAGTGATGGAGAAAGGAAGAGAGGGAGAAAGAGAGAGAAAGAGGGGGAGGGTGTTTGTCCTGTTGCATCATGGGTCTGTTTGTTCATCTGTCAGCGCACTGTAAAAAAAAATAAAAATCTGTGAATGGGCATAGTTAGAGCAAAAACCGGCCTCCTGAGAGTCCTGGTTTAGTTCAGGTTTAGTCCTGGTTTAGTCCTGGTTAAGTCCAGGTTTAATCCTGGTTTAGTCCGGGTTTAGTTCAGGTTTAGTCCTGGTTTAGTCCTGGTTAGTCAGGGTTTAAGTCCTGGTTTAGTCCTTTAGTTCAGGTTTAGTCCTGGTTTAGTCCTGGTTAAGTCCAGGTTTAATCCTGGTTTAGTCCGGGTTTAGTTCAGGTTTAGTCCTGGTTTAGTCCTGGTTAAGTCCAGGTTTAATCCTGGTTTAGTCCGGGTTTAGTTCAGGTTTAGTCCTGGTTTAGTCCTGGTTAAGTCCAGGTTTAATCCTGGTTTAGTCCGGGTTTAGTTCAGGTTTAGTCCTGGTTTAGTCCTGGTTAAGTCCAGGTTTAGGTTTAGTCCGGTTTAGTTCAGGTTTAGTCCTGTTTAGTCCTGGTTTCCAGTTTAATCCTGGTTAGTCCGGGTTTAGTTCAGGTTTAGTCCTGGTTTAGTCCTGGTTAAGTCCAGGTTTAATCCTGGTTTAGTCCGGGTTTAGTTCAGGTTTAGTCCTGGTTTAGTCCTGTTTTTAGTCCAGTTTAGGTTTAGTCTGGTTTAGTCAGGTGTTTAGTCTGGTTAGGTTTAATACTGGTTTAGTCTGGGTTTAGTCCAGGATTAGTCCTGGTTTAGTCCTGGTTAAATCCAGGTTAAGTCCTGGTTTAGTCCACGTTTAGTCCAGGTTTAGTCCTGGTTTAGTCCTGGTTCAGTCCCGGTTCAGTCCTGGTTTAGTCCTGGTTCGGTCCTGGTTTAGTCCTGGTTTAGTCCTGGTTCGGTCCTGCTTTAGTTCTGGTTTAGTCCTGGTTCGGTCCTGGTTTAGTTCTGGTTTAGTCCTGGTTCGGTCCTGGTTTAGTCCTGGTTTAGTCCTGGTTCGGTCCTGGTTCAGTCCTGGTTTAGTCCTGGTTCAGTCCCGGTTCAGTCCTGGTTTAGTCCTGGTTTAGTTCAGGTTCAGTCCTGGTTCAGACCTGGTTCAGACCTGGTTCAGACCTGGTTCAGACCTGGTTTAGTTCTGGTTTAGTCCTGGTTCGGTCCTGGTTTAGTTCTGGTTTAGTCCTGGTTTGGTCCTGGTTTAGTCCTGGTTTAGTCTGGTTTAGTCCTGGTTCAGTCCTGGTTCAGACATGGTTCAGACCTGGTTCAGACCTGGTTCAGACCTGGTTTAGTTCTGGTTTGGTCCTGGTTCGGTCCTGGTTTAGTTCTGGTTTAGTCCTGGTTCAGTTCCAGTTCGGTCCTGGTTTAGTCCTGGTTCAGACCTGGTTTAGTTCTGGTTTAGTCCTGGTTCAGACCTGGTTCAGACCTGGTTTAGTTCTGGTTTAGTCCCAGTTCGGTCCTGGTTTAGTTCTGGTTTAGTCCTGGTTCAGTTCCAGTTCGGTCCTGGTTTAGTCCTGGTTCAGACCTGGTTTAGTTCTGGTTTAGTCCTGGTTCAGACCTGGTTCAGACCTGGTTTAGTTCTGGTTTGGTCCTGGTTTAGTCCTGGTTCAGTCCTGGTTCAGTCCTGGTTCAGACCTGGTTCAGACCTGGTTCAGACCTGGTTCAGACCTGGTTTAGTTCTGGTTTAGTCCTGGTTTAGTCCTGGTTTAGTTCCTGGTTTAGTCCTGGTTCAGAGTCCTGGTTTAGTTCTGGTTCAGACCTGGTTCAGACCTGGTTCAGACCTGGTTCAGACCTGGTTTAGTTCTGGTTTAGTCCCCTCCTGCTGGCACCCAGACTCTATTCTAAATCGAGACTGAAACGTTTGTGTTGAGCTGCTGATGAATGAAAACTTTTTATTTTGCACTTTTCTCTTTTTCTCTTTGAATTTTATGACGATCATTTATCGTTTTGTTTTTCATTTATTTTGACTTTAATGTTTTTTCTTATTCTGTAAAACACTTCGAATTATTTTGTGAATGAACTGTGCAACAAATAAACTTCCTTTGTCTAAAAATATAATACAATAATACTATGCACTAAAATTCCAGTAAATCCTAATAATCTGATTTAATGTGATTTGTGTGTATGAATAAATATTTTTTAGAGAGCGTGTGGTCGGTTTCATAACTCGCTCTTACAGTCAGCTTCCCTCTGCAGCGACGCTTTTGTCCTCATCTGCTCAGGACTTCCTTCCTCCGTAAAACTGTGTCACCCGAAAAAAGAGCAGAAAAAAACAAACCAAATGTAGAGTTCTTCAAGGTTGTATGGAGGATTTTTTTTAGTTTCAAACTGTCAGTGAAAGATTAAAATACCATTACAGAGACGCAGCAGCTTTGTAATTATGACGAACAAAAAAAAAAAGAATGAAAATCTATCAACTGTGGACGTGTTGAGGCCAGATAAACGTCAGCCAATAGAAAACGAGGCTCCCTCATTTTCTATTGGCTGTTAGGTTGTCAATCAAACTCCCTAGTGTAACTGACTCGTCGGAGCGCGGGGATTACGTGGTTTACGCTGCGGTTCTTAGAGGCTTTTTCGAACTGTCGCTTCCTCGCATTTCGCACAAAGTTTGTCGCGACGGCGGACGAGAATCCACGACCGGTTCGCCGCAAAAGAAAGTCGTTTTTTGAGGTCGCCGAAAGAAGAAGAGAAGAAGGGGAAAAGGAACGAAGCCAAACTGAGGTGATTCTTGGAGATCTCGTCCAGCGATGGCGCGACCGAAGCGGACGAAGGGTCTAAAAACTGACACGTCGGTCGCTGAATTACTTCTAGACAGGAAACTTCAACAGTGATTCTGAACGCGCACAAGGACTGTCGCTGTATTTCTCTTCCCTTAAAAAAATCCTCTATACAACCTTTAAATATTTGATCTGCTGCTGTGAGTCGCTCTCTCAGTCGTTCTCGTAATAACTCGTGATCACGTGATGCACATGAGGTTTAAGCAAAGCACGGGCAGCGGGCGGGTGGGCGCGGGGGTGTGTGTCAGGGGGGCAAAGGGGGCATCAGTCAGTTGGGCACGGGGGAGTCAGTTGGGTGGGCATGGAGACGGCATTCGGGTGGGCACGAAGTCGGCAGTGGGGCGGGCAAGTGGGCGTCTGTCGGGCACGGGGGCTTCAGTCGGGCGAGCAAGGGTGTGTGTGTCAGGGGGCATGGGGGTGTCAGTGGAGCGGGCATGGGGGCATCTGTCGGGCACGGGGGCTTCAGTCGGGCGAGCAAGGGTGTGTGTGTCAGGGGGCATGGGGGTGTCAGTGGAGCGGGCACGGGAGACTCAGTCAGGCGGGTACGCGGGCGACAGTCGGGCAGGCGTGGGGCTGTGTGTCAGGGGAAAACGGTGGGGTCAGTTGGGTGGGCACGGGGGCATCGGTCGGGCGGGCACGGGGGTGTCAGTCAGGTGGGCACGGGGGTGTGTGTCAGGAGGGCATGTGGGTGTGTGTCAGTTGAGCACTGGGGTGTCAGTCGGACGGGCGAGGGAGAGTCAGTCGGGCGGGCATGGGGGCATCAGTCAGTTGAGCACGGGGGAGTCAGTTGGGTGGGCATGGAGGCAGCAGTCAGGCGGCACAAGGGCTTCAGTCGGGCGAGCAAGGGTGTGTGTGTGTCATGGGGGCATGGGGGTGTGTGTCAGGCGGGCACAAGGATGTCAGCCGAGTGGGCACGGGAGGCTCAGTCAGGTGGGTACACGGGCGTCAGTCGGGCAGGCATGGCAGTGTGTGTCAGGGGAAAACGGTGGGGTCAGTTGGGTGGGCATGGAGGCAGCAGTCGGGCGGGCAGAGGGCGTCTGTCGGGCACAAGGGCAACAGTCGGGCACAAGGGCGACAGTCGGGCACAAGGGCGTCAGTGTGGTATTCGGTTGTGTTTGCACGCCGTCTGACTCGACTGCGACGACCTGGTGCATCCAGAATCTGACAGAGGTGATTTCAGATCCTTCTCTGGTCACTGAAAGTCTCTCTGCAGATTCTCCACATTTGTTGGGAGCCTCCTGTAAGTTTAATCGAGCTTCCAGAGGAACTTGAAGGTCCAACACATGGAAATGATCCGACATGTTTGTTTCTGTGTCCTGTATGTTTGTGACGTAAACGTGTACTCGACCTGAGCAGATCTGACCAGAGTTTTGCGTCTTGGGCAGTGTAGACAGAAACACTACAGCGGAGAGTAATTCAACTTTTCCA